GCCCTCAAGAGGTCGGAGGAAAACTCCCCACCTCTGTCAGAGTGCAGACGCAGGGCAGGAAAGTCCGAGTGGAACCGCTCGCTGAGCTGGAGACGGGCAGTGCGGATCCAAGGGATCAAAACATCAGGGACTTCGCCCTTGGTGCGCAAGGGGAAGACCGTGGTGTAGCGCGAGTAGTCGTCAACAACTATTAAGAAGTACCTCTCGTGACCCTGTCCACGGACGCGGGCTGGGCCCCACACGTCCATGTGGAGCGTCTGCAGGGGAGCAGTCGTCGGGGGAAACGAGGAGGAGTGAGGAGCGGCGCGCTGCCGCCCCTCGACACAGGGAAGACAGGGAGGAGCAAGCGAGGGTGGGAGGGGAGGGAGAACCCTGGGAAGACCAGAGACAAGGTACCGTTTGTGCATGCCACGAAGGCGCTGCACTGACGGGTGACCAAGGCGGTGGTGCCAGAGGACGGTCTCGTGCGCCAGGGAGCGACACGAGCAGGGGGTCGACAGCTGACCTGACGCAGACGCAGACGCAGCTACCTGAGGGGACTCAGTGGTCAGTGTGTACAGGTCCGACCCCGGCTGCCGAGTGAAGGTAGCCAGGTGGCGACCCGTCCGAGCACACGTGCAGTGTGTCACACGCTCGTAGGCGAGGGTGAACTGGTGGACACCCCCGTCCTGAAGTGCACTACCTGCCACCAAGTTCGTAGAGAACGAGGGGAGGTAGAGACCTGACAGTGTGCCCGACGGGACCGCAGGACAAGGGAGGGCAGCGGAGGAGGTCGCAATGACCGGACCCCCAGAGGGGTCAGCGAGGGAGACAGCAACTGGCCGAGCAAGCTGCTCTAGGGCAGTGCGGTCACGAAAGAAACAGCGAGAAGCACCTGAGTCCAGTGTGAAGGTGTGCAGTGCCTCAGTAGACTCAGTACCAGAGGGCGCAGACTCACGAGCACCTAGAGCAGTAGTCTCACCAGCACCTGGGGCAGCAGACGCACTAGCACCTAGAGCGGCAGCCTCACTGGTCCGAATGCCCGGATCTGGCGGAACACACAGGTACTGGTCACTCTCTCCACTAGTAGACAACACATACATGGCACCAAGAATAGCATCAAAGTCAAGAGCATAGATATCAATGTTCTTCCTCAGCAGATCAGCCCAGCGGGGCAGCTCAGTGGCACCAGGAAACTGAGTACGCCAGGCGTCGTCTAGGCGGGAGAAGCAGCGCTGCGTGGTGTGCGCCCTCCCACACGTCTGACCAGTGCGGTCACCTGTGCGGATGACGTACGTGCAGCTAAGGCCACCCCCCCCCCCCATGCTGAGAGTACCACTCACGAAGCTCCTGGGGCGACAGAGTCTGCTGCTGGCGCTGGCCACCACCAGCGCCTCCACGACCTCCACCGCCGCCGCCACCACCTCGACCACCACCGCCCCTGCCGCCACCGCGTCCACTGCCGCCCCCACCACCGCCCCCACCCCGGCCACCTCCTCCGCCGCTGCCGCCACCACCCCCACTGTTGCCACTAGCCCCTCAAGCCCCGCCACCACCCCCACCGCCGCCACCGCCCCCACCACCGCCTCCCCCGCCGTCACCACCACCTCCCTTGCCCCCTTTGCCCTTGCCGCTGCGGCGCCCACTCGGAGTGGACGCAGTCCCGACCTGCTCAGCACCTAGGAGGTCGACAGCAGCAGCAGAGGCTACAGAGGGGAGAAGGGGGGAAGGGGAACACCCCTCGAAGAAAGGGGTGCGGGGGTCGCCACGAGAGGTACCTACAGCGACTATGCTAGCCTCAGCTGCAAGCAGTTCCTTCTCGAGCAGGTCAACGGTGAGCTCAGTGGGGCAGCGAGCGAGGAAGTGGTCCCTGACCGCACGAAGAGAGTCAGGGAGACGGGTGACTAGGTGGTAGAGAGTGAGCCACAGCGGGGGGGGGTTCTTGGCAAGAAACTCAGCGGGCATAGCGGCACGGAAGCGGGCCTCACTAGTGCGGAGGTGCGTGATGAGGTCAGCGACTGTGGAGAAAGCGGACAGGTCTGGGAACAGGTAGGGGAGCGAGAGACGGCCTAGCGCAGCAGAGGCAGGTGAGGAGTAGCGTGCAACTACAGCAGTGTACAGTGCCTGCGCAGTCTTGTGCTGGCCAAAGTGCTCGCGCTCATCTATCGGCAGGGAGTTGCGAATAGCGAAGCGAGTGTGGGCGTCACGAGTCTGCCACTGTGAGCGGGCAGTGCTGTCAGCAGTAGCAGCAGGGGCAGCAGCGTGTCCTAGCGCGTGATCGTACAGTGAAATATCCTCCTTGGCAGTGAGCTGGAGGAAAAGGTGGAGGTCATCGAGCCAGGTGTCAAATTTCAGTGGGCGGCCCTCAGCATCGAAAGCGAGCACAGCAGGGCTAGCCATGGTTGCAGTAGGAGCAGTAGTGGCGGCTGTAACAGCAGTAGCGTCAGTAGCAGTGATAGCAGCAGCAGCAGCGCGGCTCGGTAGGGCGGCGCGGCTCGGTACGGCGGCGCGGCTCTAGCAGGGCGGCGCGGCTCGGTGGGGCGGCGCGGCTCGGCTGGGCGGCGCGGCTCGGGTGTGGCAGGGCGCTAGCGGGGCTGCAAGGGCAGGGCTGCGCGGAGGGAGGCACGCGAGGGCGTGCAGAGTGGGGCGGGGCCTGGTCTCACGGGGCACGCTAGGGCGGGCTAGTGGGGCGGGGCCGGTTCTCGAGAGGCACGCAAGGGCGTGCGGGTGGGGCAGGGCCGGTCGCACGGGGCACGCAAGGGCGCGCGAGGAAGGGCGGGGCTGGTTCGTGAGGGGTGCGCAAGGGCGCACGGGGCAGCTAGCGCGTGGGGCCGTACGAGGCACGCAAGGGCGCGCGCGGGGCAGGCTATGCGCGTGGGGCTGCGCGGGTCGCACGCTAGGGCGTACGAGGAGGGCGGGGCCGATCGCGCGGGGCACGCTAGGGCGTGCGGGCTAGGCGGGGCCGGTTCGCAAGGGGCACGCGAGGGCGCGCTACGGTGCAGAAAAAAGAGAAGGGCGCTCGAGGGCGCGACTAAGCGAGGCGCGCTCGGGCGCGACTAACGGAAACGGTGGGCCCTATCATCGGTCCTAGGTTACGACCTAGGCTCGTAATACCATGTTAGAAACTTAGAATGAACGAGAATGATGAAACTAGGCATGAGGGGGATACAAGTAGGAAACCCTAACAATGTTGTACCCCCTAAGACTAAACCCACTATAGCCTACACAATATAAACATATATAATGTTTGACATGTAGCCGACTTGCTCGCAGAGTGCGAGAAAACCACTTGTGTAGTCTTGAACCGACCCGAGCTGCCGCCAAGTACGCAATTTCTGACGCGCCGAAATAGAAGCCGCGATCGGCTCGAAGCGCGCCCGAAGCCCTGCGCACCACGCATCCCACGTGCTGTATTGGGCTGTTTCGCAGAATGAACTCCAGGTGACGGCTAGACCCGTGGGCCCTTCCTCTTGCGACGGTGGCTCGTAGGCGCGTGGCGACGTCACGATGACTCGCCACCAGTCCATGGCGGGGCCCCTTAGCAGCGAAATAGCGTAGCGAATCTTCGCTGCGTCCGACTCGACGTAATTCGCGTCGAAGAAAACGTTCATCGTGAAGACCCACGACTGAACCGTCGGACCTCCACGCTGGCTTGGATCGAAACAGGGCGGGCGCTGCGGCTTGAGTGGCATTGGTGCCATGATGTCGTGGTTGCCACTTGTTGCTGCAAACTCCACGTGCCGACGAGCTTCGCGCACGCGGGCTTGGCGCGGCCCGATTCCTCTCCATGCCAGGCATCGATTGAGCGGCGCCATCACTGGGCGCCTGAGCGCTGTCCCACGCTGTCGTTTTGCGTCGGTGTGCCTGATGAGATGACTATCGGTTCTTCTGATTGCACAGGTGCATTTGCGGGTGCTTGTGATGGAGCTGGTGCATTCACCGTTGATTGCTGGCGGGCGGAGTCACGTTCCGCCGTGAGTGTCGCGATTTCGAGTGCCGAATCTTCGAGTTGACGCACGAGACGGTCGAGCTGCTCCTGCGTCAATGTCGCAAGATTAATTTCGGCCATGGCGGGGGTGTCGGGCAAACTCAGCGGGAGCCTCTGTCATGGCCGTGCGTGCTTACGAGAGAGCACTTCGAGCGGCGGTGCTTGTTCGCTGAGAGACGTCTACCCCCCCCAAAAAATTGAGATAGTGGGGAAGCGAAGGTGTGGGTGCGGTCCGAGAGAAGATCGTAGGCTCTTAATACCAAGTGTTACGAGTGCAATTGAGTGAGCGAACGAGAATTGCACTATCGAAGCAAAAGTACAATGAGCGAAGGCATGAGCGAAGAATATATAGCGAAACTACAGTGGTAACGGTAATGTGTGGAAAATGGGGTGCGCGACGGGCCTAACGCCGAGGTTGGGAGATGTCGAGGCGGAGGTCCGGAGCGCGGGTTACCAACCGAACCGTGAGGTTGGGTCGCGTCGTGAACAGCGGCGGGAATGGTGTCGAAGCGAGTGTCGCGAGTGGTAACGGATTACTGTTGGGTGCTGTTGGCGGGAACAGTGGTGTACGCGCTGAGCAGGGACGCGAAGGAAAAGGAATTTTCCTTACACAGACCATACAGCTAATGCCCGTTAGAGCCCCTCCCGGTTGCCTTGTGAAGGGGGTCTGTATGCTAAAACAACATTTCGTAGGGGGTTCGTACGTTTCGTCAGGCTTTATGCGTGCTTCTATGCTGGGCATGGTAACCATCCGATTTGTCTGTTTCGCAACAGTAATGGTTGGCCCTTGTTGTCACTAATGTGCGTTTCTGGTTACTTCAGCGAATGCACGAACAATCAACCAAGCTCCCTCATCAATTGTTCAACTTAGAAAGAAATATTGATCCAAGCAATTGTACCAATCAGCGTCTCCCACCTGGGCCCCTCCCCTGTAACTCCACAAATGTCGAAACAGCACAAATGTGCACAAGGAGTGAACACTCATGCACAGCAAAATGCCTTCGGCGCTTTGCTTGGTGGGCTCAAATTCCACTCACAGGCGCATCCATTCCGCCGCGTCAACATACCCGTCCATCACGGCGCCAACACCCGCGTCCATCACGGCGCCAACACCCGCGTCCAGCAGCTGCTGACGGCGGGACGGCTGGGTCATCCAGCCGGGCAGCACACGACCGCGTAGACGCGGGGTGTCGGGCGTGGGAGTTGCGCCCGGGGTGGGCACGGTCTGAGGGGCCACGTTGAGATTAAAGGGCGGGCTTGCCCGCTCCATCCGCGCGATAATAATCGGGTTGCGGATGTCGAATAGCTGGCAGAGGTCGCGCGGCGTGATGCAGGTGGCGCGAGCATAGCCGATGAGCATCTCGCAGGCCGCCCGCGCGGTGCGCCGCGCCTCACGGCCCACGGGGTCGGCGTCGTCGTATACCGCCTGCATGGTGGTCGGCGCCTCCCAAAGCTCCACCACCAGGCTCGCTTCCGGCTCCTGAGTCCTCTGGTCCGCCCCGTGCTCGGCGCACGTCAGCTCACCGTCGTCGATGGCGACATAATCGGCGGCGGTCATCGCGCCGAGCCCGAGCCCGAGCCCACTAATGAGCGTGCCGACTTCGTCTATGTCGTCATCGAGCTCGATGTCGGGATAGACAGACGGGGTGGGCTCGTCGTCGTGCACGTGTGTCAACTCCATGGACCACGACAGCGGCATACATCCCGTGCGCCACCAGCACCGCTGGATGGTGCGCGCACCGACGCTCGTCCACGCGTCCGACAGCCATCCCAAGACGTCGCGCAGGTTCGGGCGGAACCGCGCGACAGCGCTTGTCGCGCCATCCGCGTTCCACAAACCAGTAAACGCCCGCAACCAGTGCTGGCGGTAGCGGGCCTTGGCGGTGGCGATGATGCCCTGGTCAAGGGGCTGGGTGAAGGCAGTGGTGTTTGGGGGCAGGAAGACGAGCCGGACGTGGCTCATGCAAGTCGTGCGCATGCCGCACACAATCTCGCTCCACGCGTGCTCGCTCCGCAGCATGTGCGAGCTCGCGTTGTCGAGTAACACGACGATGCGGCGTCCCTCCGCATACATGGCAGCGTTGAGCTGTGTGATGAAGTGAGTGAACAACTGGGAGCGGGGTAGAGCGGGAAGGGGTTGGTGCAAGAGGGCGGAAGATATGAACATCGCATCCCGACTATTGAAATCGCACCGCACATTGAAACACATAGATACAACTCACCGGCGCCGTCATCCACCCTTTGGCGTTATGCCGCCAGTAGCAGAGATGTTCGGGGTCGTAGTCCGGGCGGAAATCGTGCGGGCGCTTCGCCTTGCTGATGATAAGCGGGCGAAACACGTGGCTCCCGTCCGCATTGACGAGAAACGCCACGGTGAGGCGTTCCTTCGAGACCTTGCGCCCAGGCATACGGCCGTTGCTGTACGTACGCCGCGGGAGCACGGACGTCCAGAGGGCAGTTTCGTCCAAGTTGAAAGTGTCGCGCGGAGTGACCCCCAGGTGCATAAGCAGCTGCGAGAGCTTCTCCCGGGCGTCGCGCACAGCGGCCATGTCCGCGCTGGCCGCCTCGCCGGCTGTTGCACGGCACCTCACCCCCTAGCGCCTCAACGCACGGCGCACCCAGCCGATGGAGCAACGAAATGTGGGCGGAATGCCCATGTTCCGCGCCATGGTCGCGACATGGTCGCGGATGGTTTGCAGCGTCAGCGGCACGCCAGCGGGCCCGGCGTTTGCGATCCACCGCGCCATGGCGAGCTCCAGCTCAGGCCATGCGCCTCCCCGCCGACGGACCTGGTTGTCGCCCGTCGCCACGACAGCCCAGCGCTCGGCACTCTTCAAAATGCGCCCGATAGTGGAGCGGTCCGGGCGAAGGCCGTACTGCGATAGCACCACCTCGCCAGGTCAACGTGACGCAGGCGAGGGTTCTCCACGTGATGCGCGCATATCGCGCGCTTAATGTGAAGCGGGACCTGCTCACGGCGGTGGAAACGAGGCATTGTGAGAGGCGTGGGTGTGTGATGAGAGGACGATGAATAAGTGGATTTCTCGGGATCAATTTAACTTGTTGTGGCGTGCGTGCTGAGGCACTGGTGAGGGGCCTGTGTGGCTGTTCCTAGTCGTGGGGGAGTTGTTCGTTCAATGCATTCGTCTTGAAGGGTCGCATGTGCCTGCGTGGTAACCACACAAAATAACCTCTGACGAACAATGCCTGGTTGCTAAAGCGCTTGTACCCCACAATCACAGACTATACGTGGCAAGGGCAACCTGCCCAAATGTCTGTTTCATGCACCATGAACCTGGCTTAGGTGGCATGGCAGTCGAGCGAATTCATTGACGAAACCACTCACGTTTCGTCCATACATTTCGCCTGCCTTGTTTCTAGCATAGAAACAAGGCAAACCAGGGTCGGCCTGCCTTGTTCGGGTCTGCACGTGCCCTCAAGGCCGAAGCGCGTGTCCTGTTGCCAGCCATCCATGTGCCTGTACCTTGGGAGCAACAAGCAGGGGTTGCAAGCTCGGGTGCAGCGTTTCCATCCGGTGCAGCCCAAATTCGCGTGCACTGGTTGGGCATCAATTGTACCACGAAATCAGCTTTCCCTCTTGGGATTGAACCAACCGTTTCAGAGCCCTTAAGAACCATAATGAAACCGATGCAGCCTCTTTGAACCGCACTAGCCGAGGTGAAAGCAATCTGACTGCGACACGCGGGGAGTAATTTCGAGGTGGTAAAAGGTCGACTCGTCGCCGCACTGCGTTCACGCTAAATTAGTTCAAACCTGATTGAACACCTCCAACCCCAAAACAACTGCGAAGGTGATCAAACCTGAACTGTGCATATCTCAAGGTTGTGATTTCTCTCTGGCGGGTCGTTCTTTCCATGGCGAGTCTTCCGCTTTTGTTTCTCCTAGAGCCGCACTTGAACTCACAAGGAGCTCGGTACGGATCGTTCTAGACTGGAATTCAAACCCCGGCTTCGATTATTCAAGGAGCTGCGTGTCGCCTCTTAACTTCTGTCGTTTTTTTTTCTTCTCGTGCGTCCCGTTGCTCCTTAACTTTTTTTCCGGGTGTTTCTCCGCATTCTCCACACTTGTGACGATCTTCGAGCTATCAGTGTCAGTTCACCACTCCATGCTTATTTCGTACCATCTTTTCCTTCATCTCGCTTCGGTTTCCTATTTTACGATTCCATTTCCAGTGGATCTAATGCCTCTACTCCTGTCAACCCATCTTTCTCCTCGCGTTGCTTATCTTCTCGTCTCTACTTTTTTTTTCCTTCTCGTCTTCGCGTTGATTATCCTTTACGAGATTACAGGAAATTGTGACTTGATTTCTCCCTCGATTTACCATCGGTGGTGACTAAACCGGGTTAATTGTGGCTAATATGGAGGATGCATCGGAAGCACTCCATTTACATCACCACCATCGCAAGCGACGGCGAGGGTGGGAGAAAGGACCATACGTGCGTGTGCATTACGAGAACCTGTCAAAGTAAGCACTGTGGTCTGTGTGACAGTTGTGTGGAATTTGTCAGACCTTAACATTTGTCGAATATTATGTGACAATGGTCTGACTGACCTACACGTGACATTTTTCTGACCATGTCAAACATTCGCCTGATGCGACATTAATCTGACAATCATATGACAATGTTTTCAGTTCAGATAAATGTCAATCCAGCCAGATTTCTTGCCGAAACTACATTTTTTCCCATGCATGACACATGGATCCGAATGTTTGATGTGATGACAGAGCCAGCTTGGATCATCTTCAGAACCTCCTGTCCTCGTGGTCCTCATGGGAATCCACCCAAACTCCAACCTCTGTGAGCACCGATCCCATACACTGCGTGTACAGTACAGGCCGTACAGTGCTCAACAAAAGACTTACTCTTGTTGCAAATATAACATCTCGTTATTTACCACGAACTATCATGTTGCCATTTACGACTGCTTCCTTTGCACCTTGAGGGTTCCCCCCTGTGCGTCTTCTCTCATCTTCAGTCCGCATCTTTCCTCTTTGCTCTTCTCCTCATCACTTCTCTCCTTGTCTCTCTTCTCCTCTTCTCTCCTCTCCTCTCCAATCCTATCCTCTCCTCTCCTCTCCTCTCCTCTCCTCCTCTCTTTTCCTCCTCATATGGATGGCATGTACAGGAACGCGAGGGACAGGAGCAGCAGAGCACAAGGCTGAGTGGAACCGACGTCTACTTCCCCTCATCCGGGCCCGCCTCTGCAGCGGTCCCCTCTGTGCTATCTCGCCTTGGTCCTTTGGGTTCCTTTCGCTCTCCTGGGGCTTCAGAGCGTGGATCCATAGCACCACTGGTGGGTTTCTCTCTTTTGTTGATGGGTTGCCTTCTTTTGTTGGTTGCTGGATTGAATTCGCGCTCCCTATAGTACCGATGATGGGTCGCGTCTATCTGCTTGGTGGTCTAAACTGGCTGGCCTCATGCTATCTTTGGCAAGGACGAGCGGGAGCATGGTTGAGTTGGTTCACGCCCATACAATTCAAGTAATACAGCTTGTCCTGATAGATACTACACTACTTACATTGTTATCACTGTACAGTGGTCCTATCTGTTTCATGCTGGTGAGAGCTCTGGATCAATGTGCCTGCCTTCTCGTGCATAGTCAATTTTCTGGTGTTCTTCCCTACGTTGTCTCCCCTTTCCCTCTTTTCTTCCTTCTCACTCTCCCATGCAGCGTGTATGGGCTGCTCTACCCCCTCCCAAGCCATCGCTCCCCTCCTCACTTCCTCCGAAGCAGTCACAACTGTCATCTGCTGTTGCTGCTGAACCTCCTACTGGCTCTCCTGGTACTGTTGGTGCTGCCGGTGCTGCTGGGGATGTTAATGCTGGTGCTGATGCTGATACCGATGCCGAAGGTGCTGTTGCATCTCGCAACGATAATGGCCAAGCTGGTGTTTCCGTTACTGCTGCTTTGAACGGTGCTGCTGTGACTGTTGATGCTGCAAGTGCTGCTGTCACAGGCTCTGCTGCTGCCGCTGCTGCCGCAGTTGCTGCCAGTGATGCAGCAAAGACAAGGGTCAGCAGCACCGGTGTGAGTCTGGCCGGGGTTCGCAGTGGTGTGACGTTCAATAAGCACTACAGCACAGCCAACGACGTGCCTCTCTATGATAGGTCAGAATCAGGCCTCGTTTTGGGCTTTCACAGCCGCAGGAGCACAGGTGTAGGTGCAGGCGCTAACGGGCCATCCACGGGCGATGGGTCCCAGCCAGGAATTGAGTCTAACGCTCCCTCTGGCACAGCACCAGAAGCAGCAGCAGCAGCAGCAGGGGAGGGAGGGGACCTTTCCAGCCTCACACCTCTCTTCCTCCACTCCGACTCCTCCCTCACAGAAGAGGCGCTCAAGCTAAAATCTGCCGCCCGCTGCTTCAACTGCGGCTCTTACACTCACGCTCTACGGGACTGTCAGCGCCCCAGGGACCATGCAGCTGTAGCAGCCGCCCGAGCAGAACACGCAGGGGGGAAGGGGCAGGGCGGGCAGGGTGGGAAGGGCGGGAACAGTGCTGCTGGGGATGGAGGGGTGGGGAAGTCGAGGTATTACGGGTTTGGAGGGGCGGGGGGCGGGAAGGGGAGAGGAGGATCGATGGAGGAGCGGTTTGAAGGGCTCGTGCCGGGCGTGCTGAGTGCGGAGCTGCGGGCTGCCATGGGCATAGGGGTGAGTGGTTCTGAACGCGTTAGGGGGCTTGAGGAGAGATGGACTTTGTGCGAGTTTGTGTGTGCCGCTGTTAAAGGGGAAGCTCGGGGAGGGATAGAGGAGAGGGTCCAGGTTCAGGGGCTGCTTCCAGTGCTGAGTGTGGAGTTGCGTGCTGCCATGGCATAGGGTGGGGGTGAGTATCAGTCAAGGCATTCGAGGTGGGTTTATGTGTTCCATGTAGCCTGAGGGGTTGGGGGGCGCGATGTGCTGGTGGTAGCGTTGAGAAGGGTGGGGCTAAAGGAGGAATGGAGGAGACGTTTGAGAGCCTGCTGTCTGGTGTCCTAGGTGCGGAGCCGCGTGTTACCATGGGCATAGGGGTTCCTTCCCCCCTCCCTCCTCACACACCTCCTTCACTTTCCTGCCTATTCACCATAAAACCCCATCCACAAATCTCCTTCATTTGTTTTTGTGTCCCCCTCCTCTGCAGGATCGCGAACCCCCTCTGTGGCTCAGGCGAATGAGAGAGCTGGGGTACCCTCCTGGTTTGCTCGCTGTGGCCATCAGAACCCAGTTTTCTACATCCCCCTTTGTTTCCTTTCATCCCTGCCTCCTCTGCAGGATCGCGACCCCCCTCCATGGCTCAGGCGAATGAGGGAGCTTGGTTACCCGCCTGGCTATCTTGGCTGTAAGTGTTGACCCGACTAGAGGGAGTTGACTCAAGAGCTGAAACCATTTTGAGAGCTGGGGTACCCGCCTGACTATCTTGGCTGTAGGTTTTAGCCCTACGTGATGGACTTGACTCAAGAGCTGATGCGAGATAGTCGATTCAAAACGCGCTTTGGGAGCCAGGCCACCCGCCTGGCTATCTGGGCTGTAAACTGATTATTTTCTTCGGCTGGGCGAATCATTAGGCCTCTAGGTCATTGCGTTCTCTCCCACCCGCCCCCCCTTCTCCCTCGTCTACTTTTGTCTGGAGCTGCTTTGTTCCTCCCTTTGACCAGCCTTTTCTTCTAGCTTCCAGTTCTTTCCCAGCCTCTTCTCTCAGCTCGACTGCGGTCGCGGCTGAGTTTATTCACGTGATGCTCACGCGCTTCCTGCCAATGTTTGCTCGTATGTGTGTTTTGATGAGCAGATCAAGAGGAGGAGAAGGCAGAGGTGAAAGGCCAGGAACCAGCAGCAGGAGCAGAGAAGGCTTCGAAGGAGGAGGGAGAGGACACTGATAGCGAAGCAGGAGAAATCCCAGCAGAGACCAACGCTGAAGGAAAACCAGTCAACGAGAAAGCTGCTGCTGCTGCTGTTGAAGATCCGAATGAATTCAAGTCCCTTGCTCTTGTGCTGGATGATGCTTCCGAGGAAGGTTCCCTTGATGCTGATGGGGATGGGGATGGAAAGGGAGGGCGTGAAACGACTCCTGAACCTGAGCCGTTCCTTGTTCCTACTGTTGAGTTTCCGGGCTTGAATGCTCCTCCTCCGGAGGGTGGGGATGAATACCTTTGGGGAGGAAGGGGGTGGCGAGCGGATTGGGAGGAGAGTGAGAGGAGGAGGAGGTTGAGGTATGAGGATGAGAGGTGGGAGGAGGAACGGCGGAGGAGGCGAGAGAGGGAGGAGAGGGAGAGGGGTAAGGAGGGGAGGGGAGATGAGGATGAGAGGGAGAGGAAGCGGAGGAGAATGGCTAGGGATGGTTCTGCTGATGAGAAGAGAGAGGGAGGTAAGAAAGATAGGGAGGGAAGGTCGGGAAGGGATAGGAATGGTGAGAAGGACAGGGAAGGGGATAGAGACAAAAGAAGGGACAGGAGCAAGGAGAGGGGAAGGGACAGAAGCAGGGAAAGGGGCAGAGACAGAAGCAGGGAAAGGGGCAAAGACAGGAGCAGGGAGAGGGGAAGAGACAGGAGCAGAGAGAGGGGAAGGGACAGAAGCAGGGAGAGGGGACGGGAGAGAAGCAGGGAGAGGAGAAGAGAGACGAGTAAGGAAAGGGGCAGAGACAGAAGCAAGGAGAGAGGACGAGACAGGAGCAGGGACAGAAACAGAGACAGAAGTAAGGACAGGAGCAAGGATAGGAGCAGGGAGAGGATCAGAGACAGGAGCAGCGACAAAAAGAGAGACGCGGATGAGAAGAGAAGGGAGGAGTGGAGCCCAATTAGGTTTGAGGATGACAGAGGTGCTTATGAGGGAAGAGAGAGAAGCAGAGCTGGCGACACTGATTCTGACCGGTGGCAGTTGGATCGTGACAGGTGGCATGTGGGCAGCAGCAGCTCATATGGGGCTTATCTGGTCCAATCCCGCTACGACACATCATCACGACGACATGACGATTCAGCCAATGATCGATATGGAGGTGCGTGTGGTGCTGCTACCAGTCCGCCTTCTGCTTTTCTCTCTGCTTTTGAGGCTGCCCCTCCAAGGGGGGAAGGGAGTGTGGGAGCGGTTAAAGACGCAAGGGGGGTTGTCGGTGCTAGTGCTAGTTCGGCTGTGCTGTCATGGGCGGCTGGGATTGAGAGTGAGTGTGGCGATGATGGTGGCGGTGGTGTGCAGCTGGACACGTACCAAGACTACAATCAAGGCTCAGCAGCAAGAGGAGCTATCGCTGAAGCACCACCTTCAACCACCACTTATTCCGGAACAGCAGCAGCTTTCACCCAGACTCCAGGATATTCTCAAGTACCATCGCAGTATACGTACAGTCATGGCCAGTCTGTGATCTATCCCCCTCAGCCCACGCCTCCTACCCAGCCCACTGCAGTCCCCGCTCCTATGCCTTACCTCCCGCCATCACAAGCACTCTACCCGCCTGGAACAACCAACCATCCTCCTCTTCCGCCTCTTCCTGCTGGCCCTCCCCCTCCCCTGCCTGACAACTCATCTTATCCCCCATTGCCTCCCGGACCTCCCCCTCCATTATACCCGTATCCTGCATCTTCTCCGCCTCCACCTCTCCCAGCAGCACCACCACCTTTCACTCCTCCCCCGCCTGCGTATCCCCCTCCTCCCTCACCTGCATTCTTGTCCCCACCTGCGGGAGAAGCTGTGACTCCCCCACCTTACCTGCCTTCATATCAATGGTGATAGAACATACTGGTACATCTACTGATGTAATTCGCCTGGTTTCGGATGCCTGTTTACGCTACACTGGTGTTCAATTTTGCATTGCTCGTACTGACTGCTGGGCTTCACATCCCACTGATTTTCTAACATGACCTACGGTATAGCAATCTTGATATTGCAGCATGTAAACACTTGCCTTTTCATAAAAACAAGTAACTACACTACAATTACAGCCTGTGGTGGTGACAGGACATGATCACATGTACCGTACCGTATTTGCTTTAGGTGACAGACAGGTTCTCTCAATGTCTGAACAGTGCATACTTGCTTGTTATCAGCAGTACTGTAAAGTACCGGTAGCACCATAACCTTGCAGCACCTACCCGCCACACACAAACGTAAAACATTCACCATTACCCTAAGCCAACTCCATTCCACTCAATTCTTCCCTCTCAGAACATGTCAGACAGGTGCATTTGGTTCTAAAACAAGGCTGTGATTGTGATGCCTGGTTAATCACCCCCCCTTTGCATAAATCAAAGGAACCATATCAGCAGCATTGCCAAAGGCTGCATGTGTCAGAGTGATCCAGTGTTTCCTTGAAGAGGCTTTCAGCATGCTGGCTTGATCCATGCCAATAAAGAAGATGCACCCATCCTTTGATGGATCAGTGCTGACAACCTGAGCAGAACCCCCAAAGTCACAGGATGCTTGGCTTTGGTTCTGAAGCTGGTAGTATGAATTGAAAGCGTATGAAGCAACGTCCTCCAGTTTGTTGTTGAAGTAGCATGAACTTCCTGGAAGAATTGGAGTGCAATCCACACTTTTATCACCCCCACAGACGTATGTCAAAGCAGCTGCAACATTTGCAGGGTTGGCTCCTTGCTTCACCACACACCACTGTCGTGAAAAGAATGACACGTCCTTTGCTGGCACAAGCTGAGCATTCGGATTGCCTTTCCCTGTGAGGTCTAAGTTGTATTTTAGGGTTCCATCGGCACGGAAGATTCCCCAATGGCGCTCAAAGGTTCCAGGTAGTGTGCTTTTCATGTCTTCATCCAGTAACCCAAAAATGAATCCTCCAATCTGCTTGGCAGGGCGCAAAGGCGTGCCTGATCCGCTTAACATGTGCTGGATGATGGCATTGTTGAACTCTTGTGCATACGCATTGTTGGCATATGCATTGAGTGAACCTTGCCCATCAGAAGGCCAGCCAATTTCACCAATAATGATTTGTAGCTGTGAGCAAACAAGTGGAGCGGTCAGTATGCCACAAGGTACACCAGAGAACAAAGACTTGATCTCTTACATCTGGAAAGCCGATCCTTGATAGTGCTGTCAAGATGGCATCGTAAGTGCTGTCGAACACATTCGTGTAGACCAAGCCAGTCCCTGGGTCTGTGAAGTTCCGCTCATTCGGTCTATCCAGGAAAATATCGCCCATTGTGAAGACTCCTGGTTGCTGATATAAGTTAAGGAATGGGTAGATATTTACGGAAAACGGGGCTCCGGTTTCACTGAATAGTGAGACAATTCTTCGCATCTGATTGGCGATGTCTGGCCGGAAAGATGCTTTAGATGGAGGGTATGACGTTCCCATGACGTCAGCATTGAACGCGACAGTAACCTTAATCTTCTGGTCCAATCCAGCAGCCTTTAAAGAGTCATAGATGTTCTGAACGGCTGGCGCCAAAACGAGGTTGTACTCTCCATTGTCCCATGTCAGAAACGGCTCATTTCCGACAGAGACGTATCTGAGACGAAAAGAGGTTCACGCTTAGCCGCAGACGAAGGGCTCAACATGCCTCTTGGCCAAGTGGTGGTAATCTTACCTTATATCGGCGCCTCCTGGGAACGCGTATCTCTTGACGTTATAGTCAACCCAGTCCTGAGCCTTCTTAGGACTCATGGCCATGTCGTTCAGCAGCTCATTGGCTACCATCACCGTCACCTAATGAGAAAGAAATCAGGGACACTGCCGAGCAGAAGGACGTTGCAAAATGCAGGGGAAAAGGAAACCTACCTCCAACTTGGACCCAACGAGGGCCTTCATGACTTGCGGGTCAGCATTGAAAAGTTTCACTTTCGATATTTTGTTGTCCTGTAGAGAAGCTATAAGAATCGGACGCACATCCTAAGTACGGATGTTAAGGAAACGAAATAGTACACCTACCTGAAGAAGCTTCACAACGATTCGGGGAGGTAATGGCTGCCATGCTACTCTTCCCCAACAGACTCCGATGGAAGATGCATCAAAAGACTCAGCAGACGCGAAAACAAGGAAAAATAGTTGAATCGCGAACGACGCCAAGAATCCACGACCCACATTGTGTAGCCTGAGCCTCATTCTCGATGCTTGGAGAGCCTTTTTCGCCTGCTAAGATCTTAGAGCATACCCGTAAGAGGATATGGAACCCCTTCTTCTAAAAATAATACTCAAAGCCTTGCTCGAACGAGCGTAGCATGGCGACGCACCTACCGAGTGTGCCTGTCGGTTCTATTTCTGTGTTCTCAGGTGCCTGGTGGCTGACAATATTTCTGGCGTTTTGCTATCGCGCTCAGAACGACATTACCCGTTGTGCTTCATAATTGTGTTCGCCAAATCTGTTACATTACTGAATTTAGAAAGATAACCATGTGCTCATACAAATCGTTGCACATAGCAAATTGAAAAGGCTTTAGTTCGAGCTAAAATATCTTACCTTGTTAGGAAAGGGGCAAAAATACCCCCAAAGTACCCCTTGTAAGCAATGAGCTAGAATCTGAGTACCCTAATTCCTAAACAGAGAGATATCATATGAGCAAAACCCACACCCACAAAAGATGGGAGACCCTGTATACTTTATACCTAATGATGGAGCACCTTGGGGACTCCCATGTCAGCCGGAACCCTGAGAAACACAATGATAAGAACCAACACATGCACAATTTCGCTCATAAGCATCATTCCACAAAACACAAGGGGCAGCCCAGATAGGTAAAAGACGAGAAACAAAACAGGGTGTCATTGTGGGCTGTGAATTCTGGAACCAGTACGGGTGCAGCCAAAACCATTCCAAATTTTATGGTACACAAGGGACAGACGCGGGTGTGAAGAGGTGAACAATGGTGGGTGGTTGGTGTGTTTGGTTGAAGCCATGTGTGATTACTCATGGTCACTGGGGTTGGCCTGTGCTTCGTACACAACTGCAGCCACCGCTCTCCGATTGTTCTGAGCACGCACCAGGCGGAGAAAGGGTAGGAGGTGGGAGGGAAGGGGGGCATGGCATGTGTGTATGGTGGCACGAATGAGACAACACAGGCAGGTGCCTCCAGGGCTACAAAGATGAATCCTGTCCTCGCCAGCCCACCAGTCCTCCTCTCACAAAGACGAACCCTTTTTAGCCATACTCCTCCTACTCCTCTTCCTGAGTAGCTGATCCCTGGAGTTCATCCAGCATTTGTAACTCTTAGGCCGTCACTCAACTTTCTCCTTGTAACTCCTCCTCCCAAACCTGAGTGGCCCAATCAGAATTCGTTTGTTACGCGCCTCTCTCAACTTTCCCCTTGCGACTTCTACTCCTCCCATACCTGAGTGGCCTCTCCTTTGAGTCCCACGAAGTGAATCCGAGAGAAATCACCCCCAAAATTTGAAGGAAAATGGAGAGTGAGAGAGGACACGCCCTGGAACTTGGAGAATCTGGAGAGAGGGGACGGAGGGAGAGAAAGGACGGGTTTGGGGGACGAACAGGAATGGATGGGGTTGAGGTGACTGGAGTGGAGGATGGGGGGAGATGGGATGGGATGCAGAGAACTGGAGTAAAGAAAGGGACACACCACTCAATGGGAAAATGAAATGGGGGAAAAACGGACTTCCGCAGAATTTGGGTCAATGAGATGTAACACGGTTTGGCCTGACATGAAATGGTAACATCCGTTTGACGCGATCAATGCTCACACCAATGTGTGACGGGTATTCGCACCGATTAGACATCATAGTAATGGATACATCACGAGTGGCCATGTTTATGAACTTGTTCAGGTAAATAGTTTCACTGTCATAAGAAGAATACTAATGAGATGGCTACAGTAAGGACAGATGGCCTTACTTGGTGGTGTACTCGAGCTCGCCTTGAAGGTTCTCAGTTAGATCCCATTCCTGAAAGAATCACACGTCCACAAACAATCAGACACATGCATAGGTGAGAGATACATCAACGCATCAGATTCTGTGTGCGTAACAATGAAACAGAGAGGTGTGAGAAACAATGCAAGTCGTGTGTGATCTGTGGTCACAGGATATCATACGTGTGGCTGAGAAATGTTACCTGCACTGCAGTCAGATCATTAACCACAGAGAAATCAACGTCCTCACGATTCGTAAAGCTGCTTGGAAAGAGATGAAAGGAGAGGGGAGAGTGAGGTGAAGTGAGAGAAGTGGAGGAAAATAATGGAAAACAAACGGTGTTTAACATGGATCTGCAATTTATCAATGATATTTGAGCTCATGCTGCTAGTACATGAAGATGCACCAATAAAGGTACACTTACGCTCGCATCTTGGCAGGGCTGGTCCCATCTGCTCCCCCAATAATGGCAATGCTCTTGATTTTCACATCGGTTGTGAATCTGCGCACATTTGTACAGTACAGCGGTAATAAATGTCCCTCAAATGAATACAAAGGCACCAAGAGTGCCCTTCACTGCCCCTCCCCCCCTTCAAAGGCGATGCTCTTGATCTTCACAACTGTTGCGAGTCAGCGCAAAACAACACATTGGAGAGAAATGCATCTCTAATGTGGATGGTACTAAGAGTAAGCGCGTTAGCAGAGCAATAATGAAACAGCCATTGGCAGACTGACTCACGGAATGAAGAGTATGAGCTCTGGGTCATCCTCGTTACTGTCCAGAGGTTGCTGATTTCATGCGAGAGGGTGGTAAGGAAGAGGACGGGAGTGGGAGGGCGGTAAGGGAGGGAAGGGAGGAAACGGAAGGGAAACTGTCGACAACGGTAAGATAAGGAAAGTCGAACGTACATACTACAATTGTCTAGTTGAATGCGTCGGCATGAAGTAGAGCTCACGAAACATCGCATAACTCTTCGAGAAATACTGAAGTTCGAACCATCATGTGGAAATGCTGTCCCATAAATTCTCAAAACGCAAAGATTTTATATGTCTAAACGTCTGAGTATAGGTTCATAGGTTCCAACAACTTACAAGAGCAGCTTACACTTGGAAAGGTCATGCGATCTTCCCAGCTGCGAAACACACCCTCTGCACTCCCCTCCACTGCCTCGTTTAGCGTTCGAACCTGAGGCGAGGTTAAGGTGAGGAAATAGGTTGGGACATGAGGATGAAACACATTGCGCAATCTTCTTATGTCGAAACACACCCTTGGCGCTCCCCTCTGCTACCTCGTTGGGCGCTCGCATCTAGAGAGCGTGTTGGGGGAGGGGTGGGGGGAGGAAGAAGAAAGGCGATGAGAGAGGGGAACGCTATCAAATTTTCCAGGTGTGGTAGACAGCTTTGGCGCACCCCTCCCCTGCTTCACTAGTCTTTGAGAAAATATGTGAGGGATGGATGGAGGGAGAGCAGGGACGGGTGGAGGGAGGAAGGGAAAAAGGAAGGGGAGCGGGGGGATTCAGGAGGGAGAGGAAAGGTGTCGGAAAGGAAAACAGGAAGTAAAATTTTTGTTTGAAGGATCGAGGGGCGAACTGGGCGAGGGAACGGTACGTGAGAGCAGGACCTAAGGAAGGGAGGTGAGAGCCAGGCCGAGAGAACTGGGGATTCGAGCTAGGTCCGCGGAAGGGAGATGAGAGTAGGGTTCGCGGAAAGGAGATGAGAGTAGGGTTCGCGGAAAGGAGATGAGAGTAGGGTTCGCGGAAAGGAGATGAGAGTAGGGTCAGCAAACGGGAGATGAGAGTAGGGTCCGCGGGAGCGAGATGAGAGTAGGGTCCGCGAAAGGGAGATGAGAGCAGGGTCCGCGGAAGGGAGATGAGAGCAGGGTCCGCGGAAGGGAGATGAGAGCAGGGTCCGCGGAAGGGAGATGAGAGCAGGGTCCGCGGAAGGGAGATGAGAGCAGGGTCCGCGGAAGGGAGATGAGAGCAGGGTCCGCGGAAGGGAGATGAGAGCAGGGTCAGCAAAAGGGAGATGAGAGTAGGGTCCGCGGGAGCGAGATGAGAGCAGGGTCAGCAGAAGGGAGGTGAGAGAGAGCAGGGCCAGCAAAAGGGAGGGGTGAGCAGCGCCTAAATAAGCGGGAAAGATAATGACCTTGGGAAGGTCGACGTTCTTATAGAGAGAGAACCCAGCCCCGCAGTCATGATCGCTACAGTCATGGTCATGCGAGCATGTGCCGGGTTGCGACATGGACGGCGTGGACGCCTGACGCTCGCTGCAAGAACAAGCCAGATGTTCCGCAGAGTTGTAACAACCCCGAGCTCTCGTTACAGGAGTCCTATTTCGTGTGGCCTCGGTTACCCCGTTTCGAGAAGTGCGCTACTTTCCTGCCGAAGAAGCTGCGAAGGCTGCCGAAAAGGAAAAGGACGCAGACACGAGATATCTAGTAGACGAGGAACGGCTAGAATTTGACGAAATGCGAATTGCTAACAGGAGAAAACGTGAATGAGAGATTAGCAGCACCGAGATTAGCATTCACCATTACCGTAGCAATCCGAAAATTGAACGGGGGAACTAAAATGCAAGGACCCAGATTACAATTCACATGCGTCGTCTACCGTAAAAGCGCCACCTGTATTACTTTGAGTCCAACAAAAGAGCTCATCCCTGAAATCTACCACGGTACTATCCAGGAGAAAATGGTTAGGCATTGCCTCTTGAAAACACACAAATAAAGTCTTCAGTCGCTTTCCCTGGATAAGGCACCCTAAGAAAGTCACTTCTTTCACCATACAAATCCACATCCTTAGCAACACACATCCCCCCAAATCTCTCCTCAGCCCAGCCAGGCAGCTCCCCAGAGCGCAAGTCTCTCCCAAATCCTCCCAAACTTGCTCCAACAATGTCCTTTGCAACCAGAAGCATCTTTTTCAAGTCCATTAAATCCCGGTCGGTGAGTTCGATCTGCCGTATGTGGATGTGGTGCCACTTGCATGCAAGGTTTTTGTGCATGCATTCTTTGTAGCTCAACCCCTCGAATTCCTCCAAGTCTCCTTCCTGCGCCTCACCCTTGCGACACATCTTGAGAAAATACGAAATGCCCGAGTTAAGCGAGAGGGAATAGTAGAGCTCGTGAGCGACGCCGTACGGCATTATCTCGATTAATGCGGTGGTGCGGCGGGCGAAGAGAGCCACGTTGGTGAGGGCTGCTCCATGCAGGGAGATCACAATGTCGGCGGATTGAATGGCTTCGAATTGCTGGCGGAATGTTAGTTGGCCCATCTCGACCATTGTCACCTGAAGAACGAATGACATGTAGGGAGGAAACCGGAAGGGGTATGTATGTTGAGGAATTACACAACCACCCAAGGAGTGTAGTATTATCCACAGAAACAATCAAATTTTGGCACAATCATCTATAGTCACAGATATCTACACCACACACCAACCAGGAACCCACCAGGAATCTACGAGGAAGTTACCAAGAAGCCAACCCACCAAAAGCTTCCAAGAACTCACCTGCAATCCCAGCTCCTCCATCAGCCTCAGCAGCGCCTCATGACTCTCCGGCAGGAAGGTGCGGCGAAGCTTCAACTCGGCCCCCAAGCGTGTAATATACAGCACTCTCGGCCGCCACCCTCGCACCCCATCCCTTCCCCACTCCACTTTCCCAGGCGGATCCAACCCTAGCTTCGCCCGCAGGTGCCGGTCCAGAAAGGTGCCTTGGGTGGGGTGGGACGGGAATGCTTGCCCCTTGAGAACCCCCGGGAGGAGGAGCCTTTCGAAGCAGAGAGGGCGGGCTTCGGTGGCGGCGTTCCATGCGGATTCGAATTCCACCAGCCCAAATGCCATGGGGGCGTCTCCCAGCGTCCTGTGGTCGTGTCTGGTGGCGTGTGTGGGGGGAGGACGAGAGCGAGAGGGGGCAAGAGTGTGTGATTTGGAGATGCGCTGTAGTCACCAGCCCGAATGCCATGGGGGCGTCTCCCAGAGTCCTGTGGTCGTGGCTGGTGGTGGTGGTGGTGAGGGGAGGGAGAACAGAAAATTGTTTCAAAGGTGCATAATAACCAGCAGCCCGAATGCCATGGAGTGGTAGCGGGTGGGGAAGGGAGAGGACTGAAGAGAGTGTTTATGAGATGCACTGTAACCACCAGCTGGATTGCCTTGGGGATTGACTCCTGAGTCTTGTGGTTGTGGCTGGAGAGGAAAGGTGGAGAAGCGTGTGTTTATGAGATAGAACACACGAGCGCAATTAATATAAGCACGAGATGTGTGAAGAGCATGTCATGAGAGAAAACGGGCGTTTCTTTGCTTGGAAAATGTACAAGCAAAGGAGAGCCTTGGCGAAGAACGCATGGAAATCTCTCTGCTTAGGTTGTGAAGGACCCTTGGCTTAGGTGTGGTGAGAATGCAAGAAGAGAGCTTTCCAGACGCCTCAAATAATGAAACAGAGTGAACAGGAATACACTGGAAGCAGGGGATGCAGAGAGAGAAAGGATACAGGGGGGGTAAGGAAAAGGGAAAGCAAGGATGCAGCGAAAGCAAGGATACAGCGAGAATCCAATTCTTGAGGCGCCTCAGATCTGAGGCATTCAATTCTTGAGGTGCCACTAGACTTACAGTTGGCGAGAGGCATGAATGCGAGGGGAAAGAATGGGCGTGACGGCGAACTCAATCATTGCCTGCAGCAATCGTGCATGCACCGCCTCACCTCCCTTCATTCGCATCCTAGAAACAGGTAGCGGATGTGACGTTCAAGGGGGTTTGACACAAGGGAATGTGACACAAGGGGATGTGACACAAAGGGGTGTGATGTGAAGGTATTGCGACAAGGGGGGGAGAAGTGCCAAATATAGGGCGGATGGACGGCAGAACCAGAATCAGCTCCTCACAAGTGAACACGGGGTGCAGCAGAGCCGGAGTAAAACGCCCTGTCGCAGAGGCCTAACGGGCTCTGCAACACTAGCGTGTGCTTACTTTCAAGACCCAGCCCTGCGCGAGACAGATTGAAGAGAGTGACCATGTGGCGTAGCAGAGCCAATGTGAAGGCCCCACTCAGTCCTCTACACGACTCACTCTGCAGGGTTCACCCTAACAGAGGCGCCCACTCACTCTTCTAGAGCCAGCTCCTCGCGAGGCAGCATGAAGCGAGTGACCATGGGGCGTAGCAGAGCTGGCGCAGAGAGCTTGCTAAGGGCTTTAAGCAAGCAGCACCGCTTTACTTTTCTTTACAGGGATCACAGTACCCAAAACGCCCACTCACTTTTCTAGAGCCAGCTCCTCGCGAGGCAGCATGAAGCGAGTGACCATAGCAGAGCTGGCGCAGAGAGCTTGCTAAGGGCTTTAAGCAAGCAGCACCGCTTTACTTTTCTACACAGGGCTCACAGTACCCAAAACGCCCACTCACTTTTCTAGAGCCAGCTCCTCGCGAGGCAGCATGAAGCGAGTGACCATGGGGCGTAGCAGAGCTGGCGCTGTGAAGTTGTTGGCCAGGAGGAGCGTGAGGGCCTTCTCTGCGGGGGAGGGGAGAGGAACACAAGAGGAGAGGGGAGAGGAGCTACCGCAGCTCATCTAATAGACACAAGCGAGTCGTTTTATATCATGGGCCTCTAATCAGCTGACCAGTTATTAGGCACCTAGAGAATGCTAGCAGATTGGAGTCGGTCTTGAATGAACCACTCTATGTGTGTGGATCTCTGTGCAGCCAAAAACAGGTTCTTTTCAACAAAGCCCGTTTTTGACTGGAAATTGGAATCAGGTTGGGAGGGGGTTGGCATGCTTCAGAAAACAATTCCTGTAACGACTATAAGTTCATCAAAGGCTTCAGGAAAGCACCCTGGTAGGAAAGATGGGGTTTGGCCAAGGAAAACGAGGGGGTGGAAAGACAGGAGGGATTGACATGCATCAGATCATATAAATTGATACGACTCCAAATCCTTTTCAAATGCATTGGATAAAAAGAAAAGTTTAGACAGTCACTCTGCAGACTGAGAAACCTATTTGCTCGCTGGGAAACCAACCTGCAAAGTGGGAGAGGTTCACGGAGCTGTCGTTGAACCGCTGCAGCATCGTCAGCCCAAACCGCCAATCCACTCCCTTCCGGCTCCCCAACCACCCCTCTCTACCATCCCCTTCTCCGCCCCCCCTTCCCCCTGTGCTTCGCACAGCCAAGCGTGCTTCTGCAGTTATAGAGACGATATCTGCGAGTGCAGAGGTGAATTCACGCCTGTGCGAGCAGTCTAGGGGGGTGAGGACGGGGTCCTGGCCGGGGGGAGGTGCTGTGTGCTCTGCTGCTGGTGCGCACTTGGGTTGACCGAGTGAAATGAGCTGGAAGGGGGAATTGAAATGGAAACAATTACGACGAGGGTGGTGATGTAAAACAGTCCTAAATGCATGCGTGATTCTCCAAGGAGGGTTAGGATGCTGTGTGGCCTGCTGCTGACTTTTGAGTGGACTGATATGAATCACGACGAGTGTGGTTATGCGAATCATTCCTGGTGGTGTGTGTGGTCCACGGGAGATTGGGGTGCTGTGTTAGGGTTGGTGTTGGGGGATGGCGTGGGTGCATTCACCTGATACCCATGTGTGCCACTCTATTCACCTTATAGCCGTTTCCAACAAATGTGCCCGCGCATGCGAAAGTACTGGTGGCAGCAGTGACACATGCTGATGAGCAGTAGCATTATTCACATTCCCTCATTCATATCACAGCCTCATTCCCCTCAAAGCTTCATTCCCCCCAGACCCTCATTCACCTCATAGCCGTTCCAGCACATGGACGAGCAGATGCACAGGTACTGGTGACAGCAGTAATCATTGCGAATGTGATAGCAAGAGCATGACGTCTGCTGCTGAGTCAGCGATGCCACGTCAGCATCCTTTTCGAATGACGCCAGCATCTTATCCACCTGGTGGAGATAACGCAGGGCAAGGAATCAAATAGAGCGACAGGGGACAGGTGGGGATAGATGCAAGCTCAGAGAGCAAAAGCAAAGGAGGAGGCAAATTGAGAATGCCAGGTGGTCTCATCCTTACATGTACAGTTAATCCATGATGACAAGACAGCTTAGATAAATAGAATTGACACATTCGCCACTGGCAGGGGAAACAACTCTCAGATTGGTGACAGTATGATGACGCATCATCAATTTTGAGACGTCTCAGAGTTTTGAAACGTCTCAGAATTCTCCGCGGGCAGGGAAAACAGCTCTCAGGCGGATGCTTGCATTGCACCTCGTCCTCGCCGGAACCTACTCCACGAGGCAGCATCACCAGCGTCGGCCTACACTTTAGGTCAGCATAAGATCTGGAATAGACTCAGGCACAGAAAAATCCTCTACTTCCTCTCACTTGAGCTTGCAGCATCTGATCCATCTCCTTTCGTCGCTCTGCCGCGGCGTTTGCGCGGACTCCAACGGTGATGTCCCGGCTCGCGGCGAGGACTAGGAAGAATAGAAGGAACAGTACGCATTCGGACCGCCATGAAGGATTTCTTCTTCTTCGACCGCGTGCAGCCATTTCTGCCATCATGAGCCTTCCTTCTGCTAGCTCCTTCCTTACGCTAGAAATGGTGACAGGATAATCATCGCTTCAACTGGCGGCTTTTGAGTCCATTCGCATCAAATCCAGTTCGCTTTGACATCGAAGGAGGTTGTTATAATGGCTTGACTCTGAAGCTTGTGGTCCATCTGCCTTGCAAGAGCTCCACGACACCCGGTGTACAGTATGTCATGGCTACGCCAAAGCACGTACCGAGGGCGCGAACACTGTCTGGAAAATATAACGCAAATTGATATTTGGTCGTCAGTTACCAGTAATTTCCAAGCCACAACGAGGATTAGCGACACAATGACAATTCGTTGCATGACAAAAATCTTGTAACGGCTTATTGAACCATTTTATGTACTGGCTCTCGGGTCTCCTAGAAATTGTGGAGCCACACACGTGTATCCGTTCCTATCACAACCTTCCCAATCTGTGTAGAGCAACTTCCATCAGGATTCAGCAGCAAATAACCACACTCGTCCTATCGATCCATCATAACTGTCTGACCCAGGCAGTCAAACGCACTGAAATGGATTCCTTACAACAGCTGGTCAGTTATCCTGTTGCTTTCATAGATTCCGAGCAGCCAATGACAATGCCGATTGTGTTCGCAGTCATTGGATGTTGCTGCGATAGAGTCACTGGCGTCACGAGGTACCCTGGACGTTGACTCGTGGAACAAACTTGGTAAGCCAATGCGAAGTTAGTGCTTGAAACAATGGTTGAACGAAACTGATTTCGTCGTACAGAGTCGCTCGCATCCAAGCTGGCGAAGCGAACATCTTGCGGAAAAGACGCGTTGATCATAACAGGCCTTTATTTGGGTAAGTCCGTTTGAATACTTATGTAATGTCTACTTTTATTCGTGATCTTCTATGTTCGTTCGAATGTGATGATTTCCTACTCCAGATCGTTTATCTTTGATGTTGACTTGCGAAAGAGCCTCTGTACGTAAGCACTACATCAGCATCGTCGGAAGCTGCCTAGAGCAAAGCCATCGGATCAGCAAAAGCGACTCGCTCGCACTAGTAAAGCTTTTGCAAGCTCTGCTCAACAACCGCTCTGCGATATGTCGACTACAGGCTATAACCTCTCTCGTCGCCGCTGCGAAGCCGGAAAATCATCACGGCACAGAATTGACAGAGGTTATTGCGGAAGCATTAACATCAGCTCTCTGCGACAAAAGCAAGCTTGTCAGGCTGAAAGCTGTTAGCCTCTCAAAGCAGTTCTTGTCTTTTCATACCCGGGGGGATCATGTTGGAAAGTTAAAGCCACTTATGGATGCTCTGTTCAGGCTGATATCAGTTCCGCCAGAGTCAGGTCTTACGTGCCTGGAGACCTGGGAAGGTGTTGGTGAAGTGCTCTGTCTGTTAACTTTTCCGCATCAAATGGTGTATGAGGAGCTGGCGAATCTCTTTAACGTTGGCCTTAGCCGACCATCGCGGCCTGTGGCAAGCAGAGTCATTCACTGCTATCTCAATGATTATGAACGCTGGGCGGAGTTTTCTGTGAAATGTTCGGAGACATCCTTGGCAACAGTGAAGAGTTTTCTGAGGGATGAGGCTTCCCGCAATCACCCCATCATCAAAACCTACAGGAAGATTGTGGACCAAGCCTTTTCTCGCATTTCGCAAGCGGAAAGTCTCTTGAACGGGTGTCCATCACCTTTCAGGATCATTTGGCTTTTCGCCCCAACCTGCACTGAACAAAAGGGTCCCAGTACATATGATTCATTCATGGTCAAGCATCTTCAGCGAGCTGTTCAAACTTTCCTCAAGACCAGCCAGGAGAAACAACAAACTTCCAGACATATGGTGTCTTGGTGCTTGAAGGTATGGCGGGGTTCTTTCAGCTCACTTGAAGGTGTCCGTTCATCCCACTTACTTTGTTCCCATTGCAGGCTTTTGCAGCCGCCCTGCAGTCTGGACACTGCACTGGAGTTGAGCTTCAACAGATTTTTGTGAAAGATTTCAATCAACTCTTGGAAAGTTTTCTTGAGGAGACTATGAACTGTGTTTTTTCTTTGGAAAGCTCAGTCCAGATATCCCAAAGGCTTCTTCAAACCTTTATGGAGCATCATGGTCTGTGGAAAGAAGAGCAGAATGTAAAAGTTACAGTTACATTCCTCGACCTTATTGGCCACCTCTCTCAACGGTACAAGGTTGCGTCTGATATCTTCATGAAGCGCCTGCGCACAACCAGAGGTGAATCCAAGAATGCAGAATATGATTATCTGCAACATGAAGATCTGAAGGCGCAAGAAGAAGGTACGTGAAATAGCCTTTGCTTGAGTTTCTGATTTTGGCACTTTTATGAATTATTTCTCAAAAATCTGTGCAGATGCGGCGCAGCATTTCTCGCAACTGCTTTTGGATGGGAATTCCATGCCGGGATGCTATATTCCCATGCTCGTCTCGCTTGCCTCCGAAAGTGATGTTCCACTTGTTGTGCGACTGGCAGCATTGAGAAGCTTGAGTAGCTTTCTCTTGCTTTCTATTGACCTTGCAAAGCGGCATCGCACTCTAATCACACGACTCTTGGAGGATGAGGAGAAACCGGTGAAGGTCGCTGCACTTGCCACTGTGGCTAAACTAATCCTCGCTTCTCCGAATGAGTTTCCAGATCTCTTGGATGGAGTGAATAGCCTGATGGATTCTGACACCAGTGATGCACAACTGGAGGCGTATGCTGTCTATGCGCATCTGCTACTTTCTAAGAAAATGAAGGCACAAGGGTTTATGAAGCGGCTGGCTGTGGGGCTGCTGCACAAGGATACTCGCATCAAGGGTTTGATGAAGGAGCTGGTTACACAGCTGATGGATGGAAACGCGAAGAGCCGCTGTGTTTTGGTATTGAGTGTGTTCAAGCAGTGCCCAAGGGACCGAAAGGACAACCTTGCAAGGACTCTTGTGAACGAGGTGCTAGCTCCGTGCGACCTTGAAACTGAAGAGCTTGGAAGCTCTGTGCTGCAGCTCCTGCGGCTTGGGCAGAGTGAAGCAGCACAGTTTCTCCCAAAGCTGCATCCC